TTAAGGCATACCTAAATCAGAGAACTTAAAGTGTCAGAAAGATAAATGCTGCAAATGTACAATAGGGGGAAGTATAAGATAACTTATTTGGGTCATTACTAGGCCTGTCAGGGTCAGTGAAAATAATGTTACCTGGCCTCAGTTTCTTAAAGGAGACAGACAGCACTCAGGGGTTGGGGAGGGGATGGGAAGTAAAAGGGCAGAGGTAGACACATGAAATATATGGCAGGGAATCATTGGATTATATTTTGTAGTTAAATTTGTCAATATATTTTTTCATTACAAACATGATCTATTTCATTGATTTCCCTTTTTAGGGTACTTTCATATATAGATGTTCACTATAGAGAAATTAGGATTTTGGAAAATGGCTCTTTGTGATCCTAGAAATCTGATTCATTCAGGGAGGGTCTGTAAGGGTAAGTTAGTTGAAAGATAATTAGACCTAGATAGAAAATTGAAATTGCACGCTCAGTGACACACGTAAGCACTTTGAGAATTTTTTTTTTTTTTTTTTTTTTTTTTTTGAGACCAAGTCTCACTCTGTTGCCCAGGCTGGAGTGCAGTGGTGTGATCTCAGCTCACTGCAACCTCCGCCTCCCAGATTCCAGCGTTTCTTCTGTCTCAGCCTCCCGAGTAGCTGGAACTACAGGTGCACCCCACCACGCCCAGCTAATTTTTGTATTTTTAGTAGAGATGGCATTTCACCATCTTGGCCAGGCTGGTCAAACTCCTGACCTTGTGATCCACCCACCTCGGCCTCCCAAAGTGCTGGGATTGCAGGCGTGAGTCACCGTGCCTGGCCAGCACTTTTGAGAAATTCTGTCTCCATTCCCCTGAGCTCAAAATTAGAGACAATACTGCCTCCTTAAGTAGATCACAGTTCAGAGGTTTAGAGGCATTAAAACTTGTGTTTTTCTTTCCTTTTCTCCAAAATCCCTGCTTTTGCTTTTTTATTCCTGGATACCTCTGAAGGTCAAGAAGCACAATTTTCATGGGAATTCACTGAAATGAGCACGTTAAAATACAATGTCTTGTGATATGCAGCTGCTTTTCTTAGGTATTAAACACAGTGTAGAATTTGTACATGCAAAGGGACCATCTTCATATTGTTAAGGATCATGAAAAGTTGACAACAGACTGACCACCTCCATCAGTCCCTGGCCCAGAGTAGACCCCCCAATAGATAGTTATTAAAGGAATAAATTAAATACCAGCATTGTAATGCCTCCCTGAAATGGAAGATTAAGTAAACATTAATAAAGAGGATGCCAGTCTATGTTTGTTATCAAGAAGAGATGCATATAGAATGATCTCATTTCGTTTTTTTAAAAATAAAACCCCCCATGTAGTCCCAGCTACTCGGGAGGCTGAGGCACGAGAGGCATGAGAATCACCCAAACCTGGGAGGCAGAGATTGCAGTGAGCTGAGATCGTGCCACTGCTCTCCAGCCTGGACGACAGAGCAAGACTCCGTCTCAAAATAAGATACACACTCCCCCTACACCCAGAATAATAATAATAATAATAATAATAATAATAATTAAAAAAAAAAAACAGAAAACAGCCCATCTGTCTATATTTGGGTGAGATTATAATAATAGCCCACAGATTGATTTCCTTGTTCCATTTCTGCTGCCCTCTAATCCATTCATCATGTAGCAGCCAAAATGAGCTTTCTGAAAGAAGCAAATCAGACGGTGCCTCTCCATGGATTAAAGCCTTTCATTGACTTTCCCCTGCTCCTAGACACCAACGAGGTTCTTTGTGATCTGCTGGATCCTGCATGATCTGGCTCTGGCCTGCCTCTCCAACCTTGCTTTCCACAGCCTTGCCCTTGCCTCTGGCTTCCTTCCAGTTTCCTAAAATGCGCCAAGCTCCCTCTGCTCTAAGGCTCAACTAGCTGCTTGACCTGCCTAAAATGGTCTTCATCCTGAGTTTCACAGGGTTAGACCTCCTTAATCAGGCCTCAGCTTAAATGCCACCTCCTCAGTGAGGTCCCTTCCTTCAGCTGACTTCATTTACCACCACATCATTCTTATTTTCTTCATTGCTCTTGACTGTTTGAAGCAATTTGTTTGCTTGTTGGGGATTTTCCCCATGAAGACATAAATACTGAGGGTAGGTACCTTGTGTGTCTTGTTTGTCATTGTGCTCCCAGCTCCTCACTGCAGATGATCAAGGAATAGTCAGTAAATGAGGAAAAGTATACAGGGTTAGACCTCAAAATATTAATAGCGATCATCACTAGGAGGAAGATTTTGGGTGTTTTTAATTTCTTTTCTTTTTGTTCATTTTTATTGCCTAATTTTTCTGCAAAAATCATCTGTTGCTTATATAATACTTTATCAGTTACTCCAGTGCTTAGCCAGGCTTAAGGAAGTAGTTTTAAGGATTGCAGACAGCGGCAGAGAATGCATTGTCTGCATACTTGATGCTGTGCAGTGGGTGCTGAATAAACATTTGCCAAATCCATTGAAATCTTTATTCTATGGGAAGATATTCCCCACAAAGTTCTGTAGTTAGTTGCCCACCCATATATTTGTGTGGGAGGCAAGTGCATGATGTGCAGCAAGGTACAGATGCGGAGCTCTGTCTCCCAGGTTTCTGATCCTTATCCCCAGTCGTGTACTTTTCTCTGGCAATCATGGAGTTATTTTGCTCCAGGGAAAATCCATTATAAACAGCAGCACATGGGGCACTAGAGTGTGATTTGCTTCAGTACACACTGCTTTTTTCAAAGATAATGTGGAGCCTGTAGTTCCACATATAACTGAGAGACTGGCTGAACTGTCTTCCTGTCTTGTGGGAAAAAAAAAATCTACAATGTAGTATACATACCCTTTTTTCCAAGTCACTTTAACAGTAACTTGGCCAATAACAATTCTATTTATTAATAGCTTTACATTTTAGAAGTCCAATAGCAGTAATAATTATGGTCTTAAAAGCAAAGTTATTTCTTGCATGTATTTTTTTTTTCCAAGTTAAAGGCTAACCCAGTAAATTGCATCCCATTCATCTTAGTGACTTAGAGCACTTATTTGAGCTATTAAGCAGTTGAATAGCTGTCTTCTAACTCAACAAAAGCAGGTTTTCCTTAGCTATGATACTGGATGGTTAAGGCTTTCATTCATTTGTGAAGTCCATAACCTGTGTTTTAACTTTAATGTTACATTCTGGAAATCTGTGCAAATTGGGGAAGGTAGGGGAGGAAAGGAAGTAATCCAAGAGTAGAAAACATAATAACTAATTTAGAGAGAGAGAGAGGTTATTTTAAACATCAAAATAATTTTTTTTCACTTAGATTTCCATTGCTTTACACTGAGAAGATTTGGTTAGCACCAGAGCCCTGTAATATTATGTGCATTTCATATCCATGTAGCTTAAGTCTGACTAACTTATGTTCTTCACAAATTTAGGTAAAGGCAGCTAAGCAAAGAGTGAGGAAAACTTGTTTTATCATTTATATTACAAATGCTGAGCAATTCATAGGGGAAAAAAAAAAAAAAACACTCATTTTTCTTCAGTGCTCTGTTAGAGTAGTCCTGGGAGGCATGTGTCAAGAGTTGTACTAACTGACGTTCAAAATCTCCTAATGGAATGGTGCAGCAGACTAGATTGATTCTAGAGCACTATCCAAATGGAAACTGCTTAGCTACTGTCCATCTGAAAATAGGTACTGCTTAAAGAACAGCACTTCATACTATGACATGTGAACATTTCTGATTGCGTGTGGTTATAATAGCTTGTATAAAAGCTGAGATGGAAACATCTTTGTAACCATGTGGTCTCTTCACTCCCACGGAGATCTTATTTTTTATAGTTTCTTGATTTTTCTCTAACCGTCCCAACCCTAGCCCCTTCTTTGGCCTCACAGAAACAGGGTACGCCCAATGGAATCATCCCAGGATATTTTTGATTAGATGAGCAAAGACAACTGTGAAGAAAAGTTGACTTATCTGGTAGTTGGAATACGGGCCCCAGAAAAAGCAAAGTTGTAATGTGTGTAAATGTTGTTTGGTGTGCGATGCCAGAGGAGGAGGACAGATCCCAGTGACACTGTGCACCAGAAGGATGCCGCCTGCTTGGCTAAAAGACCCAGCAGTAGGGCCAGCTATTGTAAAGCCCCTCCGCCAAATGAACAGGGACCCTTCTCTGGTCACAATAGCCATTCACGCTGAGCAGCTTCATTAAATATTCAGCCTGTGCTTCCGGCAGCTCATTAGGGCCGCAATGAGCAGTGACGTGGATGCAGGAAAGCTGAGGGCCAGCCAGCATCGGAGGCAGAGGCTGAGTGAGCTGCTGATGGCTTTTCTCTTCATTGCCTGTCCTATGATGACCAGTGTGTGCTCTCTGCTTTGCTTGAAATACAGGTAAAAAAAAAACAAAAACAAGCAGATGACACTTAAGGGCTTCAAGACCTTGTCTCAGATATTGTCTGGCAAGGGCCTCTGATTCTGAGTGCTTGCCTTCCTGAAGCCCTGTGACCCCTTTAAAGAGCTGTCTGAGGCTTTGGGGGCCTTTGCTAAGCATGAACAATGTGGTGCTATTGTGTACTTGGGCTGTTTGATGACGATGTTGGAAGGGGATACAAGGTGTGGTTTTGAACTTGGTGTTGCGGATTTAGAATAGCAAATTATTCCTCTGTAACATATCAAATTTAGAAATATTGTGAGATAACCCTAGCAGTCTGTGTGGTAGGTTTACTCTCTACCATGTTTTCACATATTTGAGTAGTTAAATACTAAGCCTTTCCCTTTGACCTATCAGGTTGGATACAGTGATGATAAAAAAAAAAAAAAAAAAGATATTCTTTAGCAATTTGGGGCCCCTCCAACAGGCTGAATGTTGTCCTTGTATCTTGTTACTTTTACATGAGTTCACCCTCAGTGCTGTGTGATGTTTAAAGCTGGGAAGATCTGTAAAATAAGAATTAAAAGATGATGAACTCAGATAGCGCATATCCCATTATTGACATGGTTTTTCTCTTTTCTACACAGAAAATGTTTTCAGACTGCTCATTTCTATGTGGAAGACAGCAATTCACCTCGAGTGGTCCCTAATGAAAGTATTCCTATTATTCCTATTCCGGGTAAGTAAGACACTGCTCTTATTTCCAATGGGCTAATTGTTTTTCTCTTTTCTCAGTTTTATGTGATAAAACAAGAAAATATTATTTTACAGCCTTTTAAAGCTTGCCCAGTATAAGATATCCTTAACTAACAGTAATTTAAGGAATACTCCTTTACATATCTGCAAAGTAATAAAACTCTCTTTAGAGGAACAAATAACTGAGTTAATGTAGTATACAGTCATATGCAGGAAAGGAAAGTACAATAGAAAAAAGGGAAAAACCATACAAAAAACATTCTTAGTGTCTACTTGAACTAAATTTCATTTGCATAGGCAATTTGTGCTTATATTTTTAAATCACAATTTGTGACACATTTTTTTAAAGGTGATATTTTTCTAAGATTCTTTCCTCTGAAAATCATGTATCTTAATGTTGAAAGTTTTGGTTCTTATGGTGGTTGTGTGGAAATAGAGGGGTACATTACTAGTCTGGTGAATATTTCACTTTTCCTCTGGTAAAAAGATAAAACACTTGGTTAGTGTTGGGGTAGGGAATGGTAGAGTGTACACTGTAGTGAATCCTAGCAAATGCCTTAGACATTTAGAAGTTCAGCAGTGGGTTAGGTGTAATAGGATGTGGGATTTGAAGATCTCACCCACCATTTCTATTTGGCATCCCTTCTCGTTTGCCAGATTTTAACTTTCTACATCCTGGTTTCATTATGTGCTTCCAAATACGTATCTTCAGATATTTTAGATACATCTATCCTCTTGACATTACTCTTTTGCAAACAGAAGCATCACTTTGATTATAATGCCACCCATTCTCCACACCTGAAGCTCCCCCATCCTGCTGATCTGCCCTATTCTCCTTAATGCTTTCCACCAACTAATGTGCTATTTATTTTACTTTTTTTTTGCTCTCTTCCCACTACAATGAGAGCTTTGTAAGGGCACGTGGCTATATTCTCAGTGCTAAAATAATTCTTGGCACACAGTAGGTATTCTTTAAGTACTTAAATGAGTGAACGTTAGAAAAATTTCCTTAAAGTTCTTAAAAGATCTTGGCTGTGAAACTCAGAGGTACAGTCATTCTTTGGGTACCATGGAGAAATACTTCTATTGTTTGCAGATTGTCACTACGTGTGGTTATGGTTGTAGACTGAATTGCCCTGTTATGTGTCTGTATATTGCTTAGTCATTAGATATTACTGGGATTGTCCATGTTTTGTACATTCTAATCAGTTTTCTCACTAAAACTTGTCACACAGAAACAAGAAGATTAACAGAAGGTCTCTGATTAAGTTCCTGTTGGATCCTTTTGTGGCTACTAAACTAATTCCCATAAAGATGGGATAAGTTTTGTGTTACTGTGTGTTCTCCACTAACCCTGCCCCTTTATCCTTGCTGAAGGAAACTACTTTTCCTTTGAGAGTAGAGAAGGCAGACAGCAATCATCAGTCTTCATCAGCGTGAAATAGTTTCATTGAATCTACTAGATTTGCACAATAGTATACATATACTTTTTCCTCTTGCTTTACCTACAGTATGTGTTGACCACTGGAAAATTCGTGGCAGTCTTTCTCCCCTCTGACCTGATTTGTCTGACAGTATCAGTTGTTTCATAGCTGTGTAATTGAAACTCATTTTTAATGAGTTAAATGGTGAAATACTTACTGGGCTGTTTTTCCATTTCTATTTTCTTTTACCACTGGATTAGGAACCAGAAAACCTAGGTCCACCCTGAAATCTTTGTTCAGTGCCTTAACCTCTCTGAGCGTTAGTTTCCAGAATCCGTAAATTAAATAGGATGCCTGTTTTCCTTGCCTTTTGAGGTAACTTTTAAGACCACAGTAGATGATATGTGTAAAAGCACTTTGGAAACCATACATTAAGCCAGAAGTGTAAGCTGTTGCAACTTTCCTTCCCAAATCATGGTACTCGTAATCCCAGCAGTCATGGAGAGAGAGCATTTTGCATGACTCTCATGTTAAAATTGTGTCCCTAACACCGAACTACATCCACTAGGTGTGCTCCACCTTGAATCACTCTTCTTTGATATAGGCTTTAGAACTTTTAATTCACTAGGATCCTCTGAATATGCCTTGCCACACCTTTGAGTAGGTGTCTTAGACCAGAAATTGCTTTTGAATGTTTTCTGTTTCATTCCCATTACCTATTTAATTAAGAAGTTAAATACTCCACTTACATTTTAAATGTAAGGCAGTGTGATGTTAAAGGGCTTACCTAGTGAAATGATGAGTGAGGCTAATCTGCTTTCTCAGGTCTTCATAGCTAACATAGCCTTACTAGGAGCATGCCTAAACAAATGAACTTACTTCACCCTTAATTGAGAGTTACCCTAAATGACCTTTCCTTAAAGAGCTTTCAGCTTGATCATAATCTCTTAGCTTGGTAAATAAAACCCCACAGTCCTATTTAATAGTTACATTTGGAAAATATTTTAATTCACAAAGCACTTTTTAAACAACTCATTGTTCTATTCTTTAGGATTTCGTCTAGTTACAGCAGTACAACTGTGTCTCATATAAGAAAAACACAATTCGGCCGGGCGCGGTGGCTCAAGCCTGTAATCCCAGCACTTTGGGAGGCCGAGACGGGCGGATCACGAGGTCAGGAGACAGAGACCATCCTGGCTAACCCGGTGAAACCCCGTCTCTACTAAAAAATACAAAAAAAAAAACTAGCCGGGCGAGGTGGCGGGCGCCTGTAGTCCCATAGCCGGGCGAGGTGGTGGCGGGCGCCTGTAGTCCCAACTTGGGAGGCTGCAGGTGAGGAATGGCGTGAACCCGGGAGGCGGAGCTTACAGTGAGCTGAGATCCGGCCACTGCACTCCAGCCTGGGCAACAGAGCGAGACTGTCTCAAAAAAAAAAAAAAAAAAAAAAAAGGAAAGAAAATAATTCAATTTTTAACAACGAGTTATTACTTTCACTCTACTAAAGCTTTTATCACAACTTTTCTTTAATGGAAACCTCCGTGGAATCATTTTAAATGATTTATCTTAGAAATTATCTAATTGTTCTTGTTTCTAAAAATATGAGACTTATAGAGCTCCTATGAAGTATTTATTCTACCCAATCAATCTCAGTTGTATTTTATCCCTGCTCAAAACCTAAATAACAATAATACTAGGCCCCAGATCTGTCAAATTATTTTACCACTTGGGCTCTTCACACTCTTAATTGATTTTTTTTAAAGATATTTGCAGACAATAGACATAACGAGTAAACTGAATCATTATACTAGCTAAAAATATGTGCAACAGGGTGAAGTTGAAAATTTAAGTACTAAGCTGTTGTAAAAATAGAGCTCCAGGGTCATCACTGTGGAATATGCAAAACACTGTGTTCCCAGAGCCTATTTTACAGTTAGCCTCTTAAAAAATCATTATCTAATAATTATTGAGCATTTACCAACAAAGTATATTATGTTTATTTTCACTACAGTCCTACAGAGACAGGTACAGGTTGATACCCCCATTTTCTGGATGAAGAAACTGAGGTTCGGAGACATTTTTTTAATTGTCCAAGGTTACAGAGCTAAGCAGTGAAGCTAACACTGGAATTATCTCTGTGACTTCAAAGCACAGATGCTTATAAATGGCTCTGCCACCTCTTGGCATATGACTGTGACAGTTTTGATATCTCAAGACTTCAGACTCCTCATTCGGATATTGCTTCATTAAGTCCAGGCATTTTCAAATATATGTGAATATTCTCTTTAGTTTTTTCTGAGTTCTTGATCATTAACTTCTCTCACTAGCACTGACCATTTGGTTTTCCATTAGATTCTCTTTCATCCTCCTGGAGGGAAATTCATAATTCTTGGGTTGACATTTTCCCCATATTAAAAAATCTCCCCTCTCATCTCTGTTCTCTACTTATTTTTATTCTTTTCCTTCCTGAGAGAAAGACTCAACTCAGCAAAACATCCATTCCCTGCACAAAAACAGGTCTGTATGATTTAAATGACTTAGGAAACAAGTCACAGCCATGTTGAATGTTGAACAAATTTAGAAACTAACTAACTTTGCAACTTTGGTTGATTCTGCTGTGGCTAAAATTCATAAATAAATAGCTTGTATCTTTAAATCCCAAAGCATACATGGAATCGGTAAGTTATACTAACTTTTGGAAACTATTATAAAATAAATACGTAAATGATTAAGGAAAGCTTTGCTAACCCTTTGATACTCGTCCCTTTGAGAGAGCAGTTTATAGGACTTTTTGAAGAATTTTGAATTTTCAATTTTACTAATTCTAACAGGAATTTAGGATATTCAGTGTGTTCTTCTGATTTAGTATAGCAAAGACAGTCTTTTAAGAATGAGGACTTTTTTCCCCCCTGGTCTCACCTAACACTTACGCAAAATGTGGAAATGCTGGACAGAGACTGAATATATATGGTGGCTGAGGTTAATTAGCCATGTTAGAAAAAACTCAAAATGCAAGAGTATTTATCCAGCTTGAAAGAAGTGCTTTTGAGGTTGGCTTCCAATCACTATAAAGGTAGTATCAATTCTTTCATCAGATAGATTTTGAATGGTTAGTGCCTGTTCCATGCATGACATATGGGAAAAGCAGGAGCAGAAGAAAGAAGTTAAACTGTGACTTCTGCAGGAGAATGAAAGGGGCTCAGACTCAATATATTTCACTAAGGGTTTTTCAAAAGAAAATGTTCCCTGGTTACTGGTTTCCCATTGTTTTGGTGTGAGGATAAAGCAGTAACCATAATTGAATGCAGTAACCCAGCTGTCAGTCCCCTCATATGCTTTCCATCTTCTAAAATACTGAAGTGGTCACAAAATGCTGTCTTTAAGATCCATAATACTCTTAACACTGACAAGTACTTATAAAAATCTAGTGACTCAGGAATATTCTTTTGAAAAAAATGAATAATATCGCAGTTATTAATGAAGCATTCACTACATTATATTATTCTTTTAGACTTTCATTATATATAAACTTTAAAAAATCAGAACTTAGCTCATGAAATTA